CCTCCTTCAACAATAGCAGAGGCCTCCTCCAGACTTGAGGCCTAGTGAAACACTTCCCGCACTCAAGCGTTCCCAATCCTAGCCCGGGGGCAGGCTGGACAGCACCCCAATCTGGACTAATCCATGGCTGGATCCCAACTGAGCACAGGGCAATTCCCTCAAGTATATATGCCCTGTCCCAGCATGCAACACTGGCAATGAAAGCCCCAGTGATTGGCTGGTGGACTGCACACATACTCACAGTGTCCCTCATTGGATGTCCCACACTGCAGCAGAGTTACACTCCACTCAGGTAAGTACAATCAATGCCAGAACACCTGAAATTAACCAAATAAATGCCAACTATAATTTAGCCAGACTGACTACAGTTCTGGCAATCCCTAGACTTTTAGTAGCCAGTCCACTAAAGGTGGTAGTGGCTACACTAGGGAGCTTCTCATTGGTCAGCATGGTCAGATGACGATGAGCAAATACTTCAGCTAATTGGATGCAATCACTGTTCGGATTACAATTTTCGGCCCGGCTCCTTCAACAAAAGTCAATTGGGTAAGGGCCACACCCTGTTAGAAATGCATCCAATTCCTATGACCTATCCAAAATTCTAACAGTGTGGGGCCAGGTTAAAGCTGAACTTTACCCACCAATTGAATGGTCTCCCAAACAGGTATTTGTAAGGCATGCCAACTATCAGCATGCTTATTTCAGCTCTTAGCCGAAGTTTTAGGCCCTGTTCACACCAGGGTGTATCTTGAACATGCATCAAATGTGCAGAAAAGTGTGCGCTTCAGCAATTGAATGGGGATCAATGGTTACGCACGTGAAACGTGGTAAACAAAGTCCCGCAAATGAGCCGGAACGTGCATTCCTGCTGTGCCCTGGTGTGAATGGAGCCACGAGCCCTCAAATGGCTGGTGTCATAGCTGATCACATGTGCAGCACCATGCCAACTGCAATTCACATAGAGGCTAAGATGGAGCCTTGACTGTAAAAGATAGAAGTGTGTTCCACTTTAAGTACCCCAAATCCCAATAGAAGACATTCTAGCACAGTGTAGCATCATCTTGTCACAAGATTTGGGGTACTCCATATTTCCAGGGCATCTTGCTGGAAGGATGGTGACATCACTCTAGTTTAGGTGACGAGACTGGAAGCCAGAAATAAAGTATGTATATTTATTAATGTTTTTTTTACATTTTACTGTTGCGTTTTGGAGTGTGAATAAAGAAGGAGAACCTTGTTTTTTTCGTTGCAAGGTTTGTCCTAAGGTGCTCGACAGACTATACATATAGTGGACCACAATAGACTTGGACTCGGTTATATATTCACCTTCTTTAGACAATGATGGAAAGCTCCTACTGAGCTCGTTTCTAAGATTTACGCTTTCATGTGGCATTTTAGTTTGAAGTGACAAGCCTCAGCCAGGCAGAATAAATATGTTGACATCTTAATGCCTTACTTACATAGAACAGAATCAACTGTAACAGTTCTTACTCAGCAGTACATTCAACCTCTGATGTAAGATGTACAACTAAAGGGTCTGATGGACTTTACAATGAGAACATTGCTGTATGGTTTTAAATCCAGGTTTCCATTTTAAAGACTTAAAAAGCTTAGCTATAAGTACCTGCAGGTCTTACTCAGACCGTGGCTTAGTATTAGGGGGGGGGGGGCTGGGGCAAAGCTCACACCTCTGGGCTTCAGAGACCTTTGTATAACCAGATTTAATCTAAGTTCCAAAAGTGCATCCTGGGAAGGTATCAGGTATTGTAGGATTTTCTGGAGAAAGCAGGTTTGTTTGGATTAATACAAATGTTGGTATAAAGTAGTCCAAGATTATATTGTATATACTTTCTAACTTGACCAAGGACCTCAGAAACTGAACAATGATATCCCTTTCTATGAAAGAGGGGTCTCTTGGCTCCATAGAGCAGAAGGAAGTCGAGACATTATTTCTTTTACAGCCTCACAATCCAAGCTGCATTACATGTAAGTCGTTCAGTGGCCTCAGGCAAATGCCTATTTGTCTTTTTATTAAAACAGCTCGGCTTGTCTGTTGTACCTTCGCTACTGAGATATTTCATAGAACTCCTCCCAGTCGTGTACATGTGCAGATAAAGCCTGCAATAGGCAGATATTGATTCTTAATCACATGGCTACAGTTTGCAATAACTCTTGCTAATGTTAAATCCAAAAGCATATTTCCCAACTGTTCCTCATCTGGCATAAAGTCCCGAGGGCCGTATTTCTTCTCACTTGCCCTTCCTTTTATTGTAGACCTCTATCAAAAAATTTACTATTTAAACACTAAAAGTGATTTACTGCTCTAAAGGTTATAGCCAACCTCTAAATGATTGCATCTGTTATTTTGAAAAGCCAGTATAATGAAAATGTAGTGGTGAAAAAGCACTTCTCCATTAACCAGTCATTGGCATGGCAGGTGGAATGTCCTTTGCCTACTTTCTTTATGCTATAATGCAGGGGTAGGCAACCTCGGCCAGCTGCGGTAAAACTACAAATCCAATCATGCTTCTAGGAGTCATGCCTGTGGCTGTCAGAGTTTTGCAATGCCTCTTGAGGCTTGTTCTCCCACAGCTGAGTGCCAAGGTTGCCCATCTCTGACATAATGTGTCCATCTTTCACAGAAAGTTGGGAGGTGTGCAAATATTGCATATGTTCCTATGTCATATATGCACAGCGTGTGACTATGTTGATGCCACAGCAGCTTCATTTTGCTGGGTTCATACTTTTCCAGAGAATCCTCTGTAGCTTTTCCAAATTTGATCATTTAATAGGCTGCAACCTCACAATTTACAGTGCAGTTACACCTACTGGTGGAGCTGTCCCCGCTTTCATTCTTTTGTGCCACTAGATGGCGAACCACTGCCAGGTTGAAAGATGACCAGTGTCATTGAACTCACTTCCTCTGGGCTCAAGCTATCATTGACCTGCCCCTTGGGTACTTGTAACTGCCCTTAGAGTACTTTTAATCATCCCTGGGCTTTGAGTATTACTGCATTGAACACACATCATTAACTGCAGCAGTAGGGACAACCCACCACCAACACTGAGGGAAGTGAAGGATCCGTTATGTCAGATGGAGAGAGGGATGGAGAGAGAGAGAGAGATGGAGAGAGAGAGAGAGATGGAGAGAGAGAGAGAGATGGAGAGAGAGAGAGAGAGAGAGATGGAGAGAGAGAGAGAGAGATGGAGAGAGAGAGATGGAGAGAGAGAGATGGAGAGAGAGATGGAGAGAGAGAGAGATGGAGAGAGAAAGAGACTGTGTGTGTCTAATGCAAAGACATAGGATTCCAAAGTCCATGGAATACAAGTGAGACAAGTGGTGTGGGATGATAGAAAAATTGCGGAAAACTAATATTTCAGTGACAAACTAACACTTTTACATACAGTAATTACAAATGACACTCTAATACCACCTAGTGTTGGTATTGTGAAGGTGCATGTATTACTTAAAGTGACATTAAAGTCAAAAACTTTTTTTTCCTCCCCAATGTTAATGTCAGCACTTACATTAAATGATATCTCTTAATCCGATCTTCTTCTTTCCTGTCCTTTTCAGCCTTCTCTCCAGCGCTGACTCCTCTGTCCTTGCTGGCACTTCCTGTCCCACGGTGTCTGCATGCAGGTGCACGCCTCCATAGACGCCTTGTGTCTCTCCTCGTCTCCCGGCCGAAAACCCAAACTGCGCTGGCCCGCCCCAAGATTCCTTGCGGCCGCTCGAGCATTTTTGGATTTTCGGACGGGAGCGTGCGGCGAAAGACAGGGGTAAGTTTAAACCGCTTTTAAAGCGTTTTGTTTGTTTTTTTACTTTTTGCATATATCTCTCGCTTGCTAGCAGTAGATATTTGCAAGATAATATTATAAGTACATTATTTGGAAAGCAGTGTTCTTACCCATAGCAACTAGATAATTTTTTGGACACTGGCAAACAAAACAAAAAAGAAACTCGTAGACCAGCCCAGGATAACCCCCACCTACTACCAGAATGCTGAGGTTTGGGCCCTCGATGGACTCCATGAAAACGATTTTATGGCGAGTACAAAAATCCTATTTTTTTTCTTGTCTTTTGAGGGACTCAAACCCTGAATGGGCAAACCTATGATCATCTCTGGCCAGGTTCATGAATAAGACTGGAAGCAAAAAAAAGTCCAAGTCAAGGAAACTCAGCCCCTAGAAAACCAGGTGGCAGCCTTGCAAATCTGGGAAACAGTATCCTGATGCCATGAAGAGGCAATCATAGAACGTGCCTTGAGAGGAAATTGAGGAACCTGATCCTTGAGGCCTTAGGCTACGATAATGGTCTGTCTGAACCACAGAAATGGTGGAATGAGAACCTGATTCACCTTTAAGTGGACCATCCAGAATGACAGAGAGAGTCTCCTAATCTGCAAACTTGCTCTGGGACAGAGAGTTGAAGCCGCGGGATCAGCATAATAGCTAGGCAACTAGCATTTGTAGAGAAAGATTAGTAATGACAGCTTGTATAATTCTCCCAACACTGTTTTTCTTTAAACAAGAACAAAACTATGTTTATTTTTTCTTCTTTATATCGCATTATATTCAGTTACATCGCAATGATATTTCAATTAAAAATAAACCAGTTACAGCAGAGAGAACTTTACTGAGAGCCTGATCAATATACACAGGAAAGCAGTTCATTCAGCACCATCACTAACTTCCACTAAGCGCAGTCTGCATTTCATGTCGTCACCCCTCAAGATGGGGAAGAGAATCCGAGGATTACTGCTTCAGACAAAACGTGTCAGTTTTCCGTGTGAAAGATATTAGAACTACTATCTATTCAATCTGGTGAATGATTCTATTTGGAGTGAATGTCTGTAAGGCTTTTTATTGGGGCTGGAATCTCACAGCGATTCGCCAATAAGAATTTCAATAAACAGAAAACGGGACCAAGTGCTTTTTGATGACATGGTCACTTTTTTTCCTTCTGTTCCTAAAAGTTTCCAGAGCACTGCAACCCTTTTCATCCCTCGCAGCCTGAGAATACCAGACAGCTCGATAGCAAGCACTGTTTTCTATGATGCTTCCATTGTCTGTTGTGGCTTCTCTGTCCCCAATGTCAGATACTTCTGCCTGAAAGGAGGAAGCTCATTGTACATCTCAAAACCTAATGGACTGTCGCTGGATGGCTGCTTGAAGTACAGGAGATGTTTCCTGAGACCCTTAAAAGGAGAAAAATAATTGAGACAAAAGTCAAGAGTAGATTCTGAGGATTATCTACCTGACTTTTCTAGTACATCAAATATAAACAGAACATAACAGAGCCGATAACAGAACTTCAGGGGGAAAAAAAAAGGTAATTTACAATAAAGAATTCTATATATTTTTATATCAACACTTCATGAATGGCAATGAAATAGAACCCCTGGCACAATACAAAGCTAAGGGGTGTATTAATTAATTTGCATGGCCCTTTAACCCGCGAATATCTGTTAAACCCTTAAGGACAAAGGCATTTTTTTAATTTTTTGCACCCATGTTATAATCCACATTTTAGGCCTGAAAATTACTTAAAACCCCCCAAACATATATTTCCTGAAAGCCAAGACCCTATAGAATAAAATGGTGGTAGTTGCAAATTTTTATATTCCACGACATTAGCACAACTTATTATCAAGCCCCCCATGTGATAGCATATTGGCAGTGACAGGTACTCTTTAAGGTGATGCTGGGGGTCCAAAAGAGCCCCAGTATCACCTTTACACTCTTAAAAAGCTATTGAAGTGCAGGTTGCACTTCAATAGCATATTGCTGGGCTTCAGGAGCCCAGCACTGACACCTATGGGACCGGAAGTGATGAAATACGGGTCGCTCCCGGTCCCATAATATGGGGATCTCCTCCCCCAGCTTTCCGCCAATACCCGGGGCAAGCTGGTCCTGGGCTCGCAGGAGGGGCAGCGAAGCCCAGAAAACAAGGCGGGGGTGTCGGGTGGGGGTCACGGTTACCGGATCGTAGAAGAGATCCGGTCGGCAGCTGAGCTGCCAGAATCGCTTCTACTGTAAAGCCTTCCGCTGGTTCTACAAAACTGAACAGACTCCTAGCGGCTTTTCTGTTTAACCCCTTCAGACTTCATGAGAGGATTATCCTGTCATGGGTCGTGGAGGGGTTAATGTTTGTTTGGGGAGAATAATGCCAAAAACAAATGTTCTTAATATATATTTCCCAGTTCCACTGTAATGTTGTAATAATAAATTATGACCACGAGATGGCTCTTTCCAGTTGGAATGCAGTCCGTTGGTGTAATAATGCACTGCGACCACTAGATGTAGTTTGCCAGTTCCCTATGCTCCTCCGCTCCATCTAGTGGCCATGAGTGTTATTATAACAAAAAACTACATTCGACAAGGGAAACTCCCATCTACACCACAATCTATTACATTACACACAAACTGGGAAAAATATCTTAGGAACATTAGTTTTTGGCATTATTAACCAAAAAGTAGTGATCACATTAGCCCTGAAAATTGCTTATAAAATCCCCTATGTATATATTTGTTCTGTGCGAATGGAGGCACAAACGAACGTTATTGGTATATATGATCTTTCCACGCTGAACATAATATTGGCAAAATACAGTCTTATAGCCTTTAGTTGGAGCTGAGAAGCACAGGATAAAGGTATTTATTTCCAATGCTCCCCAGCTTCATCAAGGGGTCATAATGTGGCATTTTCCTGATATTACAATAGGCCCCAAAAGAAAGTATACTAATTACATTCGGTTTTGCCTACATTCACTTGGAATGAAAATACAGAATTTTGCAGGACCAATGGCTAATAAATACTCCCCTTTCCTTAAAGCCCAACTCTAGACATTTTTTAAAATTAGTTTTGGATAGAGTAGGAAAGAGTTAAATGTTTTTGTAGTCCTTGCAACACATCACCCCATCCCACAGAAGCTTTATATAGACCTATCAGTAAGAGTGGGTGCATGGTGACACCATAAAGATCCGAATGCAGAGAAGACCCAGCATGCCATGGATTTATGGACTCTCTTTGTCAAGGTGACAAGCAGAGGATTAGTCCATGTACCCTGGAAACATTGGTGGTATTGTACTAATATGGGTGTGCTGGCTCTTTTCTACATTTAGGTTTTTCTTCCCGTCTCTGAGCCTCATTGGGGAGATTTCCCTTCACTTCCTTTTCTTGTAAAACTCCAACAAGAAATTGGGGGACCAGTTGTCACTGTAACAGGAAGGCATAGATACCAAGAAAGAGTTGGGGTTTAATGAGGTGTCATAACCATTGCACAAGTAAAATCAAAAAAAGATTTATACATACTCATACATAATTTAGATAAACAATTTTTGCATCAAAAACATAAGTTCCCCCATATTGTCCGTGACAGGAAGGCATAGACAGCAATAAAACAGTTTTAGAAGTTCTAACCTTTCCCCACTCTACTAAATGCCATTTGTCTGTCTCTGGATTTGATACTTTCTGGGTTACTTACCTGGAAGACGTATGCAGTAAGCAAAGTCAGAACTCCTTGAGGGGAATTTATCAGAACTGGAGCAGTTGCCTGTGGCAATCAACAAGCTTCCCTCTTTCATTTTCAAAGCTTAACTGAACAAACTAAAGATGGAAGCTGATTGGATTCCATGCACAACTGTTCCAGATTCTGCTCCGGTTTGGATAAATTCCCCTTATGTAAGCAGGACAATGAATCTGAATGCAGTGAAGTAACCGATTAGCATGACAGCCAAGTAACTAGCAAAGTAAAGTGGTGGGTTCAGCAATGGCAGCCCACAGGCATCTCCTCAGCACAGGTTTCATTTACATGTTCACTAATGACCCTACAGGTTTTAAAAACCAGGACATTTTTGGATATATCTTTGATAATCGTATATGTTCTGCATATCCAGCTGGTGGACATGCAGAAGGACAGAGCTGTATGTGACATACCTCATCCACCAGTAGATTTGTCTTTCGGAGCATGCTTTTCCTTGCAGCGTCAACTTCCTGCAAAACAATAGATTTAGACTGGAAACTGTTTTATATGTTATGCTACAATAATGACATTTATCTAATCCAGGCAACCGGCACTGAAGAGGACATTAAAATTCACAGAATGTATCATTTAATGTGGGATCTAAAACTAGATCTAATTAGAACTACTGAGCTACTATTGTCACCATGTTAAAGCTAAACCCCAGGCAGGTATAAACACTATATTTATGTACTTTTATATTCATTAATACAATGCTAAATGTATTTTTAAACTACTAGCAGTGTTAAGTACCTAAATTTGACCCAATATCAGCCTCTTGTAGTCCCTGTGCTGCAGAGATCAGGCTGGGAGAGGCATAAGCCACACAAGGAGCTAATAAGTTGGGCTGTAGTGTGCATGTGTTACCGCTGGAAAAGCCGATATAATAAAAGCAGCTCATCGGTCTGCTGTTTCTCCTTTCACTGTCCAGTTAGAGGTTAGTGGAAGAACAAGATCTATGTTACTTTACAGCAGCAGAGACAAATCCTGTATTTGGCAGGTAAAACTGCTCCCATATATGTGCCATACACTGTAATATTACATACTCTGGCCATACACTGTAATATTTTCTTCATTCAACCTAGGGCTGAACAAAATATAACAAATCCCTCCATTTTTTTTTTGCGGCCAAGCTTCATGCAACTTAATCTCCTACCTCAGCCACATGGTGTTGTGAGAAGATGAAACTGTTCACATGAGCCAAAGCCACGACATAAAGCACAGGGCACCAAGTCTGACGCAACGCTCCCATTACTAGAGTCCGAAAATAGAGACGCAGCAAATTCAAATTATCTTCAGGAGGAGATGTGTACAGAGCAAGTGGGATAGGAAACTGAAAAGAGAACAAAAATTCCAAGGTTTTGGTGAAAAGGCACAGCACAGATCATGGGATTTTTAAACAAATACAAGGTTAGCCACAAATGTAAGAAAATATAATTTGTTTACTCACTTCTAAATAATTTTTTTGGAGTCTATTAAGCGAAATAGGAAGTCTTTAACCATTATTGGGTTGTACTGCTGCCTACAGGAGCATTGGACGCTGATAAAAAAACAAAAACTGTAGGCCAGACAAGGATAACCCCTCCCCCTACCAGCATGCCTTTGTTTTCATCCAAAGCAGTACTGAGAGCATGGTTATAAAAACAAAAGGGTGGGACTTGTGTCCCTCAAAGGGCTCCAAGAAAAAGACTTTACAGTACAAAAATCATATTTTCTTTTTTTATCAACTAAGGGACATAGGAGGTCTTCAAAGCTGAACTCCAGCTGTAACAAAGCAAAAATTCAGCTAAGGTCTCAGGTAAATTGACCTTTACAAGTCAGCCATATGTAATTGTATGACAAAATCAGAATCTATCCTTCCAGATCACTCAAGAGGGAAAAAATATATATATAAATTAATAAATAAACACATTTTTTTAATAAAAAGATGGCAAAGCCATGGGCTGATTAATGCAAATAGAACAGAGATTAAAGGCCGTTACTGATAAACAAATGAGGTTGTTAAATTGTGTGAGATTTTCATAAGATCCCAAGCTAGGAATAAACATTACAATCTGATTGTAGAAACGTCTTTAAGTTTACCAAAACTAGCTAAAAACCCATTGAATTTATATACAATCAGTTGTTAGTAGATCTAAAAGCACAATTAAAAACGGTAAAATTTAGGGCAGCTTAAAAGGCTTTTAATCTGATTCGCAGATAATGGGCCGACATGCTAGTCTTACCTCCTTCAGGGGTACACACAGGGACCTCAGACTGTTGACATGTTCTCCAAACATGGCCTGTTTGAGTTGGACACTAAAACGTCTCTGCAGCGGGAGAAGCACAAATGTTCCAAATAAGGGGTCACCAAAGGAAACGCCTTCAAACTGCTCCAAGAGGTCCATGTAGAAATCATAGAATGACGCCAGCCCAGGCAGAGGCATGTCAAGCTTTAATGATTCCATGTGTTCAGGCTGACTATAAAGAACAGTAAGTGCTGCCGTATATGCATGAACAGGAGCTTCTAAGAAGAGGTCACTACCGGTCAGAAAGACACAAGTCAATCTGGCCAGTTTTGCAGCAGTGGGGACACTCTGTAAGCATCCAGGACGCCAAGTTTCCAAAAGAAGTATCCACTGTAAGTTCCTCGTGACTCTGTTAACCAGATCGGGAGAGAGACTATTCACTATTTTCCCCTTTGTTTCTGCATTCGTTACTTTGTTGTAAAGATTGATCAGTGGTAGAAATGGCCAATCAAATGGCAGAATGGGACCTCTGGCTTCGGGTAACATGGCAGATTGAACAAAACAAGTCCTTTCCTCATAGACAACCTTAGAATGGTTGAGGGCTTGTTCCATGTGGGCAAAATGAGTTAAGTAACAGCTCTGGATGGAAGGGAGGTCTTTGAAGGCTTGTTCTAGCAGAATACCACGACTTGGAGACTCTGAAGCTGAAGCAGCTGATCCTAGGGGTGTTGGTTTGCCTTCAGATGTAATATGTAAAATATCAGATAAATCAGCTGCTTGTGGACCTCCCGCACTTCCCTCTCTGTGAAGAACAAGAGATATATAAGAATTATAACCAGACAATTCAAATGTTACTTGTGCCAATACTTGTTGTTCCATTTGGCTCCTTTGGTACACCTAAAACAACCTATCTACTTAAAAAAAAAGAAGGGAATAATTAAAGTTGAACCCTGGGGAGAACATATTTAAAGAGCTCCAGGAAATCCAAAAATTAGCCCTTGCAGTGGGACTACCCCCGCACTACAAGGGTTAACTGCTCGTTTTAACTGCTCAAGTGCAGGATCAACTGCACTTGAGCCTGGTCCTGCTTGGCTACTAGATTAGTCCCTGAAGCCTATTCTCCCCTGGGCTTTGGCAGTCTAAGGACCCGTGATGTAATCACGTCTAATGCAGCTGAGGAGAGGTGAGCTCTGAGTGCCGCAGGAACTAGGGTCAGGTAAGCATATCTAATGTATTCCAAACCCTAGAGGAAAAACAAGCACTTACCCCCGCACTTCAAGGTCCATTTTTAGATTTCCTGGAGTTCTTTTTTAATCTAAATAACCTCAAGATAATCTAAATGCATTTCTACATGCCACAAAAAATGTAAATCCACTATGCATGCACAAAATATACTTTTGCAAATCCAGGATATTGCCTTATACATTCCGGTGTAGCGGAGCAGAATAGCAGCAGGGACCCAGCAGGTCCACCAACTACAGGCTGCCTGTAGAAAACTACAGAAGGGGGCAGATCCATGACCAGTCACCCTGCATAAGGAGAGAGAGCAGCAGTGACTGGTCTTACCTACAGGAATCTCCTACTGAGAGGCAAAGTGAGGGAGTGGTTTTATGCGGGATTACTACAAAGATCAGAAACAAATATACAAGAAACCACCAAGATTCAAGTAAAAATACATATGACTTTCATATTTAAACAATGTTTGTTTAGCCCAGAGTCCAGCTCAGTAGGAGCCAGATGACTGACGGGTGAATGCGGAAGTGATGTAATACACATCACTTCTGCATTCACACTACAGAGGGAGAACAGCAAGGAGCTGATCTCCCTCCCTCCCCGGGCCGCTGATGGGGCAGCGGATCCCGGGATTAAAAGGTGAGGGGTCAAGAGGAGGGAGATGGCGGCACTCGCGATTGGGGGGGGGGCTCCGAAATTCACGCCATACAACCGATCGGCGGCTATAGAGCCGCTGATCGGTTGTATGTGAAACAGCCGTTGACGGCTGTAGTAACGAGCGGGTCTTCTGGAGACGGCAACCCGCTGATGAGAGTCTGCCGTCCGTCCGATTTTTCTTAACGGGCGGACGGCAAGAGGTTAAAATATCTGACATTCTCCTGGAGGGACAAAAAAAGAAAAACACTAATCTACAACTTCCTCTTCTTGGCCTACTGGCCATTTAATTAGGATGTTATCCAGAGTCAGAAGCCTAGAGCATCCCAGTCTGTCTATTGTGCCGTGTTTTTTTTTTTTTTAACTATATATATTTTTTTACTACAAATTGTAAATAGGCTTTTTTTTTGTGAAGTGTTTACGTACTTGCTGGATATCCTGCAAAATATAAACTTCAATACATACTTTGTAAAATAAAAATGGAACAAGTTTAAGTGATGAGTGGCATTTGAATAAATTACTTATCTAAATCTATAACTTTAGGACAAAGAAATCACTATCCTTGTTCAAAGCATAGCCCAAAGCCGCTCTGCCTGGCTAATTCTAACATGCCATAAGACCCAGGCAGTAATTTATTATTGATCTGCAATTGCCCACAGTAGTACATCAACTACTTCCAAAAAGAAAATTATACTTGGTAGTGTTATTAAATTATTTCTTGTGATGATTTGTAACTATATATGAAAACAGAGGGAAATGTATCAAAACTGGAGCCTACATAATCTGGAGCAGCTGTCCATGGCAACCAATCTGCTTCTATCTTTCATGTTCACATCTTAACTAAACAAACGGAAGAGAGAAGCTGATTGGTTGCCTTGGACTGCTGCTCCAGATTTGATCTTCTCCAGTTTTGATAAATCCCCCCCGCCCCCCCCCATAGTATATAGTGGTCAACTAATAGGTACAAGTATCCCTGGCTACTAGGATGTAATAAATGACTCATCAAGGTACTGAAGATACCTTGATTTTACAACCAGAGGATTTTTTTTCAAAAACATTATAGATTAGTGAGTAAATCAGATAAAATAGTCTAACTATACATCTTAAATAAAGAAACAGAAGGCAAATACGATTTTACACTCTAAAGTGGACTTATGGCAAAGCAGGGAGCCTCTGGTAGAAAAAAGGCCTTTCCCACCTAACAAGTTATATCTGGGTCAGTGACTTCACTCACTGTAAATCTAAAAGTAATATGCAGGCTAGAGCTGCAGCTAATGATTATTTTTAAAATCGATTAGTTAGCCGATTATTAAGTGCGATTAATCGGTTAAAAAATAAAATACATTTTTAAAAATGGCTCCAGTGATGGGACTACTAGTTTGTATTGAGATTGCACTCCATCACAGGAGCAAGCTTGGAGCGGTGGAAGTAAAAAAGAAAAGTGTGGTGTGCAATATAGTGAAATGAAAAGTGTAAAATTATACAGCAATGATGAAGAATGGCATCGACGATAGAGGACTACAAAACTCAGCAATAGTACATTATACAGCGCAATGCAGAATACCACCAACTATAGATGAATACAACAAATCCCAGCAATAGTACATTATAGCTGGAAGTATTCTGCATTGCGCAGTATAATGTACAATTGCTGGGTTTTGTAATCCTCTATAGCTAGTGGTATTCGGCATTGCACCACTGTATAATGTACAATTGCTGGGTTTTGTTGTACTCCTCTATAGCTGGTGGTATTGCACTGTATAATGTACTATTGCTGGGTTTTGTAATCCTCTATAGCTAGTGGTATTCGGCATTGCACCACTGTATAATGTACAATTGCTGGGTTTTGTTGTACTCCTCTATAGCTGGTGGTATTGCACTGTATAATGTACTATTGCTGGGTTTTGTAATCCTCTATAGCTAGTGGTATTCGGCATTGCATCAAGGTATAATGTACTATTGCAGGGCTTTGTTGTACTCCTCTATAGCTGGTGGCATTGCGCTGTATAATGTACTATTCCTTGATTTGTAGTCCTCTATACAGCACAATGCAGAATACCAGCAGCTATAGAGAAATACAACAAATCCCAGCAATACATTATACATACAGTGTATAATTTATTGCTGGGATTTGTATTCCTCTATAGCTGATGGTACATTGCTCTGTATAATATACAGTACAGCAGAATGTACCATCTGCTATAGAGGAATACAAATCCCACTATCCCAGCAATACATTATAGAGCACCATGTGTGGGAAAGTGCAGGTTTACATGAGCAGTCTTCCAGCAACTTGCTTCTGAGATCGGGACTGTCTATCAGCGACTGGCATCCACCCACACCTGCTCCTCCTTACTTCTTCTCCCCGCGTCCCTGTGCCGATCGTGGATGTGGGCGGGCGAGCGGGGAGGAGGTGCGGCTTGTGGAGCCTGGATGCGGCCAGGCGGGTCTGGCAGCGGCGAGCGTGAGGTGGGGAGGAGGTGTGGCGCGCAGCGTGTGTGGAGCCATGAACAGGGCCAACCAATCGGAAGCCGATTAATCGATGAATGAAAAAGTTGACAACTTTTTCAATAATCGATTATAATCGATTATGTCGATTAGTTGTTGCAGCCCTAATGCAGGCCACAAATCAGGTGATCGCTGCCCTTACCATATGGTTCTGGGACGTGCTTTGCTTTATGTAATAATTCCTTTACAACAGGAGAGGATGCCAGGTCAAAGCCTAATTAAGAACATGGTGAAGCCCCCATTCTCATACATCTCCTGTTTTGTTCAAGCCTGCAACCTCAGAATAGTAATATCACAGCATGCTGCTTTGGCAAAAGTACTAACTAAACAAATGGATGTAGCCTGCTAAGAGGGTATAAGTCAAGGCGTGTAGAAACTATAGGAATTAAGGTATCCATAGATACCTTCACAGACCTCTCCAATCAACTGATTTTAAAGGATGTAATGTCTTCATGTCTCGCTACCCTTTGTCTATGCCTTTATGTGTGGGAAGAATTTGTGTCCTCTACAAGACACTCAGCAGCTCTCTTATTATAAATGCATATTAGATAGTGAGTACTTACGGTATGAAAACAGGATTGAATGCCAAAGTGGTAAGGATCTTATGAGCTAAGTGCTCACTGCCTGGTAAGAATCGACTCAGTAAGGTCAATGAGACAGAGTGGAAAATCGAGCCAAATTGAGATTGCTCTAGAGACAAAGATGCCTATGAAGGAAAAATACAAATGTTTAATAAAAGTAACTGATTTGTAAAACTTTTTTTTATCTAAAGAAAACAATTTTCCATAAACATTATTGTTTCCCTTTTTTAAACAAAAATAATATAGCAGACAACATTTTAAAGTACCCTTATAATGGTCTCAACCCCTATGGAATGTACTACTGCATACCCCGATCACAGCCATATTGACAAATACAAAGTGAGGGATAGAAGGAGCTGGATCTAAATGTAGATCGCTTTTACAGTCAAGATATGGGCCGTATCGAAGGGTACAATGGCTCTGGTTGGCAGCTTAGGTGAACAAACAGACCTCTAGGGGTCACTTCTGGAGAAATCCAAGGGGTACAGGAAAAAAGAAGTAGAAGCACCAGACCAAATGCTGAAACCACAAAGAGTTTTTTTCCATGATAAAACTTTAAAAAGACACGCCAACCCACTCTCACTCCTGGCGCAGCCTCACAGTAAAGTGCACCCTGTCCCTTCTTTCTGAAGAGTCCAACATGGACCATACAAGGACTGGGCATGCTTTTCTAAGTTCTATTGCTTCTAGGCCAGGACCAATTAGGAGTATAAAACGGTCACTTAAAAACAGTTATGACAAGCCCAGAATGTAGTAAAATAGACATATTCTACTACACAAATAAGTGACAGGAAAATAATAAACATAAAAAACACAACTTACCGCTTTGTACATCAGTGATAATATGAAATGCTGGAAATGATATTCGTGTCGCAGAAGCCAATTGGAAGAAGGGGTCACAGCTGGTGTTGGAGATTCAGAAGTCTTAAGCAAATAATCGTGTAGACCTTTGTATTCCAATATAAAAGAGAACTACACAAAAAGAAAAAGGCAGAAATACATCACTGACATAAAAGAATATCACATTATTTGACTTGAAGGGTCATTTCATTAAAAAACTAATCTACCTCTCTGCAACAGTGTGCAAGTCAGCCTCCTGCTCCTTGTTAGGCAAACCAAAAACTCTGGAGGGAGAAGCTTGACACTTAACACCACATCAAGTGCTGACTCAGCCCACTAGTATGAATTGATTGATTTAATCACTGGTAGGCTGATAGCTCAATATTCATTAAGGGCCCATTCACATATATCGTCTGCATTAACGATAATACGAAATCACCTGCACTCCACACAGCGTACAGACCTTGGATGAGAGGTTAGTGCTTGAAGTGACAACACGGATGGCACCGTGTCAGATACAGTCCATAATAGAAGTCACCAGCACTCGACGATATGTGCAAGAAGTAAAGCACTTTTTATTCAATCGTCACATGCGTCAAACAGCCAAAGCAGGGTCCCTTCTTCTGGGCGACATAGTGATGAAGTGACAATATGTCGCCCAGAAGAAGGGACCCTGCGTGGCCCCGAAACGTTGGCTGTTTGACGATTGTGACGATTGAATAAAAAGTGCTTTACTTTTTTTACATATCATCGAGTGCTGGTGACTTCTATTATGGATTATATTGGATTAACATGCGTTGCGTTAAGACAGCCTATGAATTTCAATGGGCTGCCAACACACCACAATGGTCCAAAAATCAGACATACACCATTTTTTTTCATTGCGTTACTGTGTGTTGTGCTGCACTGCAAAGCAGGTGCAGGTATGAATAGTCCCTAAATGAAACCTACCAGGATGGAGATATTAGAGAGCTGCCACTTGTCTTTGATAGTACAAGCACCAGGGCTGTCATCTTCATCCTTCCTTAATTACTACTTCATTAGTAAGGCACTGGCCTGGAACAAGTATGTGTATATCTGAGGACAGGATACTTGATATCTACAAGCTAGTTCCAGGTCACCAGCTCACAAAGGTCAACAACTATAGCTCCCATATTTTTATTCGAATACATTTCCTTTAAAGAAACCCGTTGTAAGAGAACCACACTGACCTCTCCTTTTTAAAAGGATAGCCGCCTGTTGTTATGACAAAGAAAACGACCTCTTACATTCCTGAATTACATGTTTGTTCTGGGTGAACCAGGAAGTACAAAAGGCAAAGGGTCAGCACTAAAGCAAGGCACCTAGTATTTTCTCACATGACAGGTGTTTTCCAGGTTTATGTAACAGAATTAGAGTTCAGTATACTAACAGTAATATGTATTGTGCTTCATGTTATAACAATGTGTATGTAAAGTATTTTTTTTCTTTTGGATACAGTAGGGAATGGCTAAGACTCCTGTTAGGTTTTTTTTTTCTTTTCTGTCCGTATCTTTTTGTGCAGATTACCCTTCACTTCCTGTCCCAGAGACACAGTAGGAGGTATAGAAGATTTCCAGAACAGGTTTTCCCATTGGAAGATTTCCTCCCAACTCCTGTTCCTGTAGCAACTCAAAAAAGCTGGATTTCTATATTGTCACCTGGACAAATAGAGAGAGTGAATCTCCCCAGAGAAGTTTGAAAAAAACCTGACAGATGTGCCAACACTTCCCCATTCTGCCCAAAGAAAAAAAATGTCTGTTTACATACAGTTTAAAATGACAGTAAACTCAGGAGTTAAAACTTAAAAATACATTCAAGTGCCTTAACTATTAATCTCACGTTTAGTTTACCAATTTGTATTGACCTCTGTTATATCTGCTTACCCTAAAGATCTCACCTTGCTGACCAGCCCCTTGTGGATATTGCAGATAATGCAGATGAGGTTCAGCACAGCAGTCAGAAGAGGGAACCGCTCAGAGCTCTCTCCCGTGATGAAATACAATCTCAACACCAATTGGTAAACTAAATTTAAGACTGTAGTCCATTACAGGAGTGAGCTTGGAGCGGTGGCGACTTTACAACACACACAGGGACCATGGGGAACAAAAGTAACCACCCTCCAGAAGGAAGGACAGTGTCAGCACCAATTCAGAGATGATTTGAGGATCTTCAGCCGAGTGATACACAAATAAGATACATTTTTGTTCATAGTTAAGGTATTTGAATGCATTTTTAAGATCTAACGCCTGAGTTTAGTGTCACTTTAACCATACATTTAAAACAGTCTGCCATATGGAATTATTTTAGTCTCAACATTCTACTGTGAAGAGTAAAATTTTTACATTTACAGAACTTTTCTATGCATTAAGCCAAACAATTCCAGGTATTAAAACTAAACCTCTGTTATGTCTGTTTACTCTGAAGACCTCACCTTGCTGACCAGCCCCTTGTGGATATTGCAGATACTGCAGACGAGGTTCAGCACAGCAGTCAGAAGAGGGAATGGGGATTTTTTCCCAGGCAGGCTGAGTGGTGGTTTCCCTCCTGCACAACTCAAAGTCACAATGCTGCTGACAGACTCCGGGAGAGGGGAGCAGGTAAGAGGGTTACACACAGCAGAGCAAGACCTAATAGCACATGATTCATAGAGAAAGAAGATAAAAAGATACATATTAAGCAAGATCTAGATCTGCAAATATGACCCACAAAAATGAACAAATTATATAAACATTTTGATGACTAGTGATAAGATGCCAAGAATGTGTAAAGGGCCCAGGAACATGCTTAACCCAGTGAGTCTAAGTTTTTTTTCTCCTTATACCTCCTTGAGTTCCAGAAAATTATTTTAATTTCAGCAATTTCTCGGTTCTGCACATTATATCGCTTAGCTTTTGTAGTCTACTCTAACATATCATACATTGTTTTTCTCAGGACAGATGGTGAAATTTGGTAGCAGATTTGGATGCATATATTTTTATTTCAATAGGAAGTAATAGTGGGCAACTGAAGGAAAGACAGAAAGACAGGAAAAGAAGTCATAACAACAATCACAACTCACTGCTCTGGAAAAAAAGAGCTCTGAAAGCAGTAATGCTACTAAAAAAAAAAAAAAAAATTGAAAAAGGTATTTACATGTTTTTTTGTTTTTTATATAACAATGTACTCTCCCTACTCTTGTTTAACTAAAGTTGGGTTTTAAATGCAAATAATCCGAAGGAAACATTTACCTGAGTAAGTCCCACATAGACTTTACAGATGGTTGATTTAGTAAAGGCAGTAGAACACTCTCTGTCAACTTCTCCATTTCCTCATTACACAAAACAGTATTCAGAGAGGGCTGCAAAAAAAAAGGTAAATCTCAGGAAAGGTTTATATTGACAAAGGCTAAGCTATAAAAAAAAAGATGTTTGCCTTCAGTTAGAGTTGGTGAGGGTGCTCTCCGCACACCTTACAGCAATCCCGGCCAATAAGAACGATGGTGCTTGCAGTAACGACCACGGATGGCACCGTGCAAAATACGAAGTAAAAACGACAGGTCACCAGCACTCAGATAATTTAAATAGATATGTCCTTTTTAAATGGACAATTAATCCATTAAAAAGGACATATCTATTTAAATTATCTGAGTGCTGGTGACCTGTCGTTTTTACTTTGCCTTCAGTTAGAAACATTTCAAAGAATAAAATAATATGCATTATCTCTACCTAGGCTTTATTTATGAGTTTCTCTCTTCAACTGCCATTAAACAGCAACTGGAACACATAGAGAAGCAAAGAACATGTCATGTAATCCATGATCTGACACCTACTCTAAAAAAAAAAAAAAATCATTCAGCTTGTTGTTGTTTTTTCTGTATGAAAATAATGACATCTAGAATGTTTTTGGAATGGGCAATATCTGCACTTGTCTTTCCATTAAAGCCCAATCCCAGCCGAAGCTTTTATTGTTCTTGTTTGGGATAGGGTTGGCAAGGGTTAGATCCTCTTGTCAGTTTTTTTAAATCACTGTCTGTGTCCCCATTGGGGAGAATTGTCCTAAATTCCTGCTCACACAGACAAAAGGTGAGGTCAAATCTCTCCAGCAAAGGCAGACACACTGTAGCAATAAAAACATATAGTAAGTCATTGTGGGGAGTCTTTTTAAAAACACTGCAAATGCTTACCAAAAAGATGTTCTTAGTACCCTTTTACAAGCCAAAACTAAAAAAAAAATTTTTATCAAGATAGCAAACCACAAGTGTCTATTTGTTCCACTGATGACTTCACCTTCTAAGACTCTAAGACATATGAGACATAACCTAGGAGAATGATAGAGATGATTTTTTAATAAATAGGTTGCCGAATAGACAGCATGACATTTGATACCCAGAAGCCCTCCTAAAATGTAAATAAGCGTATCTGGTGACTTATTTATATTCCTCTTGAATGCAGAACTTACTGCCTGTAGTAATACGTGCTACCTAGAAAGTCCATTGTATACAAAGAACTTACTATTATACATTTCCGAAAACCAAACAAGTTCAAGCAATTGTTAATTCTCACCTGCCGGCTAGCAGCCTGGTAGTATGATGCAAGGAAGTTAATGGATGTGAGGGTGAGTGGCTGAAGCAGGTCCCAAGCGCTGGCATTTCCAACTTCTTGCAGACATCTCCTCAAGCATCCTTCCACTATGGGTAGTAATCCAGTGACATTATCCCATGATACCGCAGGTGGAGGGATCTGAGGTTCTGAGTCCACAGGAGCACTGCAAATCAACAAATGGCATATTTATTAGCTTGGGGTAACTGGGCTAATTTATAAAAATAGGAAGTATTGCTTGTAGCAAAAAAAAGAATGGAAACAATTTTTCCTCAACACACAAAAGCTAACCTTTTCTGGGTCTGTGAGATGGGCTGTCTGTATTGCTCTATAGCAACAGGTCAGATTTACACCTGTAGTCAAACCTAACAGTTGGATGAAAGTATTAATGTCACTGGTTGCTCTAAGGAAATAAAATTATCTTTACTTGCAGTGAACCTCACGTGGCCTATAGATATTCCTACAGCAACTGGAACATTTTGGTGCCTTTAAGGACCTGGGTACTTGTAAATATTCATAAACACCAAACCAAGTGTTTGTGAGTTTGCCCTCCACCCATGTTGGGCTATCATTTGCCACTGATGTGTTAGTGCAGCATGGGTATAGGGCAAACTCACAAAGAACTGGTTTGTGTTTAGAAATGTTCAACTAAGAGAAAGTCAGCTGTGCTTAAGAGAGGTTCTTAATACGGGGTGGGTGCTAGACCAGCCTGGGTGGAAGGGGAATTTGTTCGCTGTATACGCATATTTACAAGAGCATTTTGAGTTGGCATATGTTTTTCTGAAGAGGACTCTGTGATTTTAAGCTCAGATCACCAAGAGTAATATTATTTTTTTCAGATTTATTTGTGTAAATGTGATTGTCATATCACTATTTATGTGTTTATGTTTTAGTCCCATTCAAGGTGCACCGGTTGATGCAATAGGTGTAGTAGCACTAAACTAGTTTTTTATCTTTTAGATTGTACTTTTTGCAAAATGATGTGCTAGCAGCTGTATTAATTCGTTTGAAAAAATTATTTTTCATATTGAATTTATTAGCGGGTTAGAGCATGTATGTTTTTGTAATCAGAGTACTTATACAGTATATAAATGTCCATCTGGACCAGTCATAGTTTTTATTTGTATTAAGGTTTTTGTGTTGGTCATAAAATCAATCACTGTGCCCATGCGGCATCCCTTTAATCCGAGGCCTAAGATGTACATGCATAGCACCTCAACTTCTCTCCAAATTGAGATTAAACCCCACCTCTTCTGATGCCCAGGCCATGTCATCAACTGTCAAATTCCAAAGCCTCTAATGCTGACTGAAGCTCTCGCATTTAAAAGATGAATAAGACGGGATTGGGATAGTACTGGCAGGAAGAAAAAGCTAAATCTCCACTTGTAGAAAAGTCAGACATTTCTTAGACCGGGTTGCTTAAAAAACCTTAGACACTTCTTAGGTCAGATTCACTTTAAAGCCTTGGTTCTCAACTGGTGGGTCGTGACGCCACGTTCAGTGGGTCGCCACATGCCTTACCCCCTTCTAAGTGAGAGGCTCCTCAGCCTCCCCCTAGAGCAGCACCGTCAGTTCTCGCGCCAAGCAGCCATTCAAAATATGTTGCCTGGAGCAGAGTGTCAGCTTGAGGTGGGATGGGATGGGGCTATGGCCATGAGAGAGCTTCGTCCATACATGCATTGCTTACAGCTCCCTTGCATGTCCTGTAGAGGTGCCTGGACCGGAGTGATGTCACATTCTGGCTCACAGTACCACTACAGGGCACGCAATGGAGCTGTACAAGCAATCCACATATGGATGGAGCTCCGTCACAGCACAGCAGCCCACACTGGACCCCAGGCTTGGGATCCACTCCAGTTCTCGTAAGGTAGGAAGACTGGGTGGATCATTAAAAAAAGAAAAGAAAACATTATTTGGAGTGTGCATGTGTGTGTGAGAATATATGTAAGTGTGTGAGATTGTGTCTGTGGTTGTGTATGTCTGTCAGTGCTGACCTACTTCTGAAAATGCTAGCTGACCCGACTCTAATGCGACTCCAACGTCTTTAGTACATTCTAAGTCACTGACTCAGAGCAGCATTAGAAAATCCGAGTGAAGTCACAACTCCTAGCTTTTTCTATGTCAGTGGCTCAGAAAGCACTGAAACCACCAGCTCAGCATGAAAAATCAAGCAACTAGCATTCTCGGAGAGATCAGCAATAGCAACCCCCATCATTCCTGTACATATATTTGTGCAAACATTCAGACAATAGTTGGGGACTTCATCCTAGAATATAAAAGAGGAGATGGCTGTAAAAGATTGTTCTACAAACATGGCAAAATGCCAGAAAAAAACTGAGGTGTCCACTATAGCCTTCAAACTTCAACTGTTATGTTTCTATCTTCAGAAAAGGTCCATCTCCACTTACAAACAAACACTGTTCCTGTATAAAAGAATCCAGAATGCACCGTAATATTTAGTATTTCATTACCTGTGCAGTTGTGCTTCAAGCTCGGCAGCACAGCCCGCTGTCTGAGTCACATGGCTAAGCAGAGTAATTACAGCAGCAGCCCGCTGAATAGAGAGCGCTGCAGAGGAAAAGTTCCCTATACAGGAGGCAATCATACTGGGCAGAGACTGGAGAATCCTTATCACAGCTAGGTACAGCTCTCTAAAAGAAAATAAGCATTCAAACATACATTTTTATTTTATTTTCATATAACACAATTATAATAACCATTTCATTATATTTTAGAACAGATTTACATTATTAGGGCATCTGTGAAGCAATAAAAAGTTAATTTATTGTGCTCCTAATATACAACTCAGAAACATGCAGGGTAGTCTATCAATGCTAAGCCAATGCTTTGCTGTGCAGGTAAGATATGCTTAAGTAAAGTACACAGAGTAAAGTATAATGGCAAACATATTTAAAAATATGCAAAGTACCTCCCGCAGCAGAATTCGTCAGGCTGAAATCGAAAATGACTTTTTGCCACCTTTTTTTTTAAATACTTGTATTGTGAGCACATGGCACTTAAAAAGCTTCAGCCAATAAAAAATGTTTGGAAAAAAAAAAAAAAGCTTCGGCCAGGGAATGACAGCCGACAGTGGCAAGATTCCGCAGATGGCAGCTGAATGTAAATACAGCAGGGAGTGGACTGCTGCAATAACCAACCTGCTATTGGCCATTTCAAATTGCAATAGCAGGCTGCTTATTCAACCCGCCCACTGCTTGCTGTGCCCTCCTCCCAGCGTGGAGGAGAGAGGTAGGGGATCCAACCAACAACGATAATGAGAATAGTTGACAACTATTCTCATTATCAATTATTATCGATTAGTTGGTTGCAGCCCTAGATCATAGACATCAATAATAACAACATCTGACCTGTATATATCACATGCTTGTCCGTAGCCGGCCACAATAGCCCAGAGGCGGAAGGTCTCAGTACTCAGCCTCTCAGCCTCCTCTCTCAGCAGAGGAAGCTCTTTTGGCTCCTGCACAGCAAATCTGCTTAGACGGCTCTTCATTTCAAATGTGTGCAGCTATGGAAATAAAGGAGAAATAAAGGGTTTACTATAAAATGGAACCAGGAAGATATACAGCAAATTCATAACACCAGTATTCCTTATGATTAAGTGGTGATTTTTGACAAGCTTCAGAATACCTGAAAACCATGCTTTTAAAGTAGGTATACAGAACCACTAATAACCAGGTCTGTTCCTCCTCTTTAATAGGAGATGCCTAGCACCAGGAGATTTTGCAGCTTATAGAAAATTTTCCTCTAAACAGGCCCGATGGTTTCCTTTAATAAGAAGAAAAGAAATGTACAAAGCACTGTGCAACTCAGGTGATCCCTTCATGGACAGCAAGACGCATCCCTACCCATGATTGTCAGGGAAATACCTGCCCATCTACTGTCTCTTCCAGGCAAGCAAGCATTAAAAAAGCTTGGATCTCTTTGTCAGCCATCGTACTGTCATCTACACCTTATCTTCTCCACTATAGTGTAGAGTTAGAGGACAATAGTGTCCTCTAACTCTACATCATTGGAAGTCACTTTGAAAGAGAAATATTACTAAGCCTATACTTTGGCCGGTCTGTGCATTACATGCCACCTCTCACGCCATCCACCTTAGGTTCTTAGCATTAAAGACACAATTTCAAAATAATTATTTCCAAATACTTACTAGTCTGGCAGCTGAGTGGCAGCTAGAAGATGCTAGCACTCTAAGAAACTTCATAGCAGCTGAACAGGGCACACCGTGGAGACTAGTAGGTGCCAGGTCTACGGTTTCCATTGGCACACTCCACTGCATGGGCAGAAACTCACGCACTATTGTTTCTATTAACCGTGGACAATTCAGAAGCTGCATATAACAAAATAAGAAGAGGTTATAACACAATTCATTATTACTTACTACATATGAAAACCTTAAACATATGAGGTACTAATATAAAATAATAAGCGTAGCAATGGACAACAGTCTTTGGTTAACAAAAGCTTAGAAATGAATGAATGAACCAATTGGGATGGTTTTTAGGCTGATTGAAGAAACAGAGTAAACACACACAAAAACTGAAGAATATACTAGCCACATAGATTTTGTTTCTGGTGCAACTGAATGTAGGACCCCAGCACTACAAGGAAGGAGTCATACCCACTTAGTTGCTTAACCACCTCGCTTCCCCAAAATCTGCATTTTAACTATATAAAATGTTTTATCAAAATGTACATGACAAAAGATTTCCAAGGCCCTATGGGTATTCTAAGGAGACAGCAGAAGTTATATCACTTCAGACATGTCATATATCTGTTGGTTGTGACAAAACGCAGTGACCTTGTCACTTCCCAAAGTCAGGTAAACGGACAGCAAAAGGAATCTTATCTTCCTTCTATTAATCCAGTTATCTCACCATGTAATGGAAGAGAACAAAATCTGAGTTTTTAAAGTCCAGCCTGAGGGCCCATTCACCTGACATCCAGATCATCTCCAGACCAAATTGTTTCCGGACCCTAAATGCATCCTAATGTATCCCTATGCTATTTCTGGCCTCTGTTCTGTCCTCACACCAGCGCAGTCCGTTCCAGACCAGACAAATACTGCATGTCTCATTTTGTCTGGTCTGGAATGCACTGGAACTGCGGGCAGGTTCACACCATTTTCTGGACCAGATCTGGTCCAGAAAATGGTGTGAACCTACCCTTAATGGCACCCATGAGTTCTTTCGATGGATAAATTAAAGTGAGTGCAGCCAGAGGTGTGTTACTTGCACGATTACCTTGGGATATCAAAAGAGGAAAATACTGCAAAAAAGGAAGCCAATGCAGGCATCTCACCTAAGGACTGTATTTAGGATTAAAGTTTACTGTTTTGAGGGGGCAGTATATATCCATCAGCAGGATATACCCGCATTTCCATTCTCCCCCACTGCACTGTTCAGCCGCTAAGAGCAAAAAGGTGGTGTAGAGGAGGGCTGTCCTATAGATGTGGCATTTCAAGGTATACACGAGCGCTGGTATATGAATCCACCATTTCAAGCTCATGACCACTGAATGGAGTGGCATATGTGTTGCTGGGGGAAAGTAATTAAGTGAAAATGTTGCGTTACCCTAGACACGCACTGCACAGTTCTTACCTGGCTGCAGGCTGCTGCAGAGTGACGGGCCACCCTTGTGAGAATCTCGAGGATATTCTGAACAACAGGAGGTGGCGGTCTTCTTACTTCCAAAATATATCTAAGCCGGTGAAGAAATTTTGTCTTCAGAAGACCCTAAATAAAAAAACAGCTGCTTTAATAAAGACATCAAGAGATACTTGAAGGACCCAACCTAGTAAAGAGTTAAGAGAAAAGTCAAAATGTATCTTATAAATCAGCCTAAACCCCTGTTCATGGCCACCAAATCAGCTTCTCTTTTCAGTTTGCTCAATTAAGATTTGAAAATGAAAAAGAGAAGCTTATTGATTGCCATGCACAGCTGCTCCAGTTTTGATAAATTCCCCTCAAAGTGAATTATCACACAAATGAGAAACACTACCACCTGCTGGTGAAAATTAAGAACAGGTTTAGTGCTTACATACGTTTAAAGAGCAAACTTCTTTTAAAAAAAAAGGTTAATCCAACCATTCATTGCTGTAACACTTACCTTTATAGCATCATAACGTGCCACTTCTGGATCAGATTTATTTTCCTCTTTAGCTTTTCTCTGGTCTCCTTCAGCAAAACCAGAGTCCTCAACGATATCTTCATCATCTTCATCTTCCTCCTCTTGATTAGGCAAGAAAGGGAAGACCTTTGCTCCCTGGTACCATGAAAAAGTCATGTCCAGGTATTCCTGCACAAGAAGCACGACAAGCATCCATAAACACCTATGCAGTATACCGATACTGTCGTCACTAATTACTTTGTATTTCACATGTCCATTACATAACGAGTCAGTGCAAAACAAGTCCATTTTCAGAAGTGAGTTATTTAAGGAACATTATCAAGAATTAAAGCATAACCCGTGTCTATGTATTTTTTTGCATATTAGGTATAAACGCCTGCTTATTGGTGTGGATCATTTATTTTGGATAGTTAGCTTTCACTAGCATTAAAATCAAACCTGCACTCTGCCCACAGGGAAAAAGTAACAGCTGCTTTACTGTAGGGACGTGAAGGAGTATGTACTTACTTTCCCTGAAATCCTCAGTCGGCTGAGAATTCACTTTAAGCTCTGACTTTCTGATTAAGTCAAAATTCACACATAGCTGTGCATTCTCTTCTGCTCCCACATGACAGCGTTCTGAACTGGCTAGTGGCCACTCAATTGGCAAGCATTATATTGTGGGGAGGCAGAGCGAGTACCATGAATTCCCAATACCTGGAAGTACCGAGCAGTTCTCCAGTCTTTGGATACAAAGTGCAGAAAAGTGCAGGAAATGTAAATAAATGCTCCTAGAAGATCACCTTGTTAGTCTAAACGAATTACATTATCTGAGATGTGTATGGTTATCTCATCCAATGACTGGTCTTCTCTTCTCCATTAACCTCCTTAGCGGTAATCCCAAGTGTGGCTCGGGGTTAATTTCAGTACCATAAACGGTAACCCCCAAGCCACACTTGGGATTACAGCGTAGCATTACTTACCTTGTCCCTCGGGGCCGCGCTGTGTCCTCCGGCTGATGCCGGCATCCGTCTTCCGGGTTCCGTCCCTTGCGAGTGTTCGCGTCGCAAGGGGGCAGAACTGGTGAGAATTTTAGAAGTAAAAATAACGAGAGAAAAAAAAAAATTGAACAAAAAAAAGAAAGCAATCAGACCGCCAGGGAGGTTAACCTACACATATAGAGCCTGATCTTTGGTAAATTAGACCATGTTGCGATCCCCTAAGAGGCAATTCTGAGAGTTTATGACCACTGGAAGTCAACACACACACAAATTCTCCAACCTGCCTGAAAAATCTCTGTACAAGCAAGTGCAAATGTTTATCAAATCAATATTTTTGATAAAAATATACACTAAAATCATCATCAGCACGCACAAAAAAACATAATTTACAAGATTCCCTCTAAATCTAAAAGATAAAAAAAAAACTGTACTGAGTTAATAAAATGACAAATATTTGTAAATTTAAAAATGCACCTTTTTGCAAAACGCATATACCGGACGAAAGCCACATTATAGGGTGTGTGTGTGGTATATGATGAATAGAACATCTTTATATAGGCTATTTTTTTAACATGAATTCTATTGTAGGTATGCAATAAAAGATTCCAACAATTCCAGCATCATTCAATGCTTTGTATAGACCTCCAGTGTTGTACTCATATCCTTTTTATGTATTACACGTAATCCAGGGTTTCTTTGTTTATCAAACATGAGTAGGTCTGATTGTAACTAACTTTATAATGGTATAATGCCTCAATAACATTGTTCTAAAATAAAATACCTCATCCTCTGGAGACACCAGTAAAGCATGAAAAGTGCCACCTGATGCAGAAATGACAGTATCTATGTTATCATCTATAGCGAAGCGCAGCAGAAAGAGGAATCCAGCATCCAGGAGCAGGCGAAGCACACTTCCCTTAAGGACAGAGGCAAACTCTCCTTGCTTAGCCTACAAGAAAGCACAGGAGACACACTGATCAGTAATCAATAATCCCTATTCAAATCATTGAGCAAAGGTTTACTATCCTGCCCAACTGTGTAAAAAGTGAATACAATCTCATACTAAGACTATTAAAGAAAGACTCAAATGTGAAACAAAAACAAAAACAGAAGATTGTCAATGATTAGACAGCCCTGTATTGCAGAAACTGAAACATGAAACAATTAAATGAAATAATAAATGTTTTATATAAATAATAAATATAATGAAATGTTGGTTTATAATAGGGATGTTCAGATACCAAGTACAGTACTCGGTACAAGTACAGATACTTTTCCGTCTCCAAGACTAAACTAGAGAAAAATTAAAAAGTTAGGAGGCAGCGGTCATTTGTAAGGAGCATACGGGGCTCCTGGGATTTGTACATCTGTTTTAATGTATGATTTATTTTTTTTACAAATATATATAAGGGATGCACCGATACCAGTTTTGCAAGTACAAGTACTGATACTTGTCCAAGTACTCACAAGTACCAGTACTGATACATTTTTGTTTATTGTCATGCAACAGTTTTTCTAAAACAATAAAGACTAATGATTTCAGGATGGTGGTGGAGCGCCAGAGCTAGGTCCCAGCTGCAACCCTGGTAGTTCTCATGAAAATGGCAAGTATCGGCGCTGGTATCTGGACATCCCTATTTTATAAACATATCGACTTGAAACAAAAGAAATTGACAAAAGTCAATAGTTGTTAGTTTTTTCTTTCCCTTACCTTCTTTACAATATGGCCCAGAACTTGCAATGACAAGGTCCTTTGCTGAATGAACTGGCTGCGAGACAGATGGAAGAGTTCCTGAAGAGAATAACCTGCTCTCTTAAAAACAAAAACAAGGAAAACATCACAAACCAAACTTGTTATAGAAGGTAAAGTTACTAAGGAATGCATTTGTGGGGACCACTTTTCCCTACAGGTTCGGGAAAAGACACTGGTGGGTAAAATACTGACGGCCCATTCACACTTGTGTGCTGTGTCAGCGCACACTAAAACAGGCGCATTAACATGTGTTTTCACAATGTGCAGTGCGTTGTGGTACCATTCACTGTAAATGGCATCCCAACGCACTGTACAGTAGAGCCCAACGCATGTATAGTAGCATAACGCATACACTGTGTTCAGAGGTGCTGCCTTTTAAAAAAAAAAATTAATTGTGGTGCGTTGGCAGCCTGTTCATAATGAATGAGCTGCCCTAACACAAAGCACTTCAACTTGTGCCATAATACACGTTAATGAGTGTGTGTGTTATCCGTACCGTAATTAAATACTTGAATGGGTCCTGAACACATTTGTTAAAGTGAATGTCCAGCCAAAACTTTTTCCTTAAGTTTTGGATAGCGTGAGGAAAAGGTAGATCCATTACCAGGGTTCAGTGCTATCCAGAAATACCAATATTTAGCTATATTAGCTATATTAGCTATATATCATGTCATATAATCATGCTGCCCTGATTAAGGGGTCTTTTGCCATGTCTACTTGATGAAGCTTTCTTTGTAAGGATATATATAGACATATATAAATATATCTCTATATATATCAAATATATATATATATATATATA